GTCCCACTATCATGCTCAGTCCCCACCAGGGTTTCAGCAATTCCTCTTGGTTACATTACCCTTGATCATGCCCTACCAGGCCTCCCACACCCACCTCACCACCAATTTGGATGACTTGTTGTTCCCTTGTCCCTGGGTTTGTTAACACCACTTCCTGTCCCTCTACCTCCACCTCTGCCATGTCCCCCCAGAACTGTCAGTCCCGTAGTTTTCTCCTCCAGAGTGTTCATCCAGCAATAGTGAGTACTCTTAATGTGTGTGTTTAGTTCTATTCTTGATAAGCCAAACTTAAAAACAAACCTCACTTCCATAAAGTTGATTCCTACTCATAGTAACCCCAGATTACCCCAAATGCACACAATTAAAGTAAGATTGGATTCTTAACTACCAGATACAGCTGGAATGCTGAAGTGGTACAATGTATGAGATTTACTTCTAAACCATCAGGTGAACTATTTATAACCATATTGGATGATACATACACATAATTCTGTTTTCCTTTGGAATTTTTCAAAGGTAAAAAATGCATTATTTAAGTAGAAAGAAAATGTTTTGAAAATGATGGCAACATATGTACAAATGTGCTTGACACAATGGATGTATGCCTGGATTGTGATAAGAGCTATACGAACCTCCCATAAAATGATTGTTTAAATGCATATTTTAAAATGTCTCTTCATTATCTAACTTGTAACATAAGTAAAAATACATTATCAAAAAAGGAAATGGATGTATATCTAGATTCTAATACATCAGAAAGTGTATTACCTCCTAATGTGTCAGAATCTAGAAACAATAGACTCTATAATAGAAAATGGACTCTGAAGCCCGATTGTTACTCCTTTTTTTTACATTGCTGCTTTTACATCTATGACCAAATCACTTCTCATAATTTTCCCATTTCACTTTTTGTCCACAATACACTCTCAATAAACCCTTAGTTAATCACTTACCTCACCTCAGCAGTTTATCCCCAAGTTCACATACAGTAAAATGGCAGCTGTTCAATCAAGAACATAGAAATTTTCCCCTATAGCCCCATTTTCTTGCTTTCACCTCCTGCATCCAATCCATCAGCAAATCTTATCTACTCTGACTGAGTTATATGTCTCAAATCTATGATCTTCAGTTCCACGTACTTTAAACCAAATTCAAAGCACTATCATTTTAGGGACAATTTACTACAATAGTCTTCTTACCAGTCTCCTAGTTCCTTAAGACTCCTGGCTGCTCCAGTCCACTCTTTATAAAGTGACTGTGCTGAAGTGTATAAAATTTCTTACTATGCCTCGGCTACCCATGTAGTGACATAATGGTAACCAATCGGGCTGCTAAATGAAAGTTCAGGAGTTGAAAACCACCAAAAGCTCTATGGGAGAAAAGCAGGGCTTTCTACTGCCATAAAGAATTACAGTCTTGTAAACTCAACAGTAGTAGTTCTACAGGGTCCTATGGGTCAGCATTCACTTGATGGTAGTGAGTTTGGTTGGTTTTACCTGCCTCTGTACCTCCCACTGAATGCTTGGGCGGGACTATGCAAATAAGGCATATGAAACCCTAAATAGAGGAGTTGGTCAGTTTCAGTTGCCACTACTCCAGCTGTAAGGATGAACCATCTAAGAAGCAGGAACAGAAAGAAATCCCAGGAACATCAAGGAAAACGAACCAATGAAGCACATTTGGGATTTCTGTTTGAAGTGGCAGAGGCTGAGACAGAGACCATGAGGCAAAGCAAAGGAACAGTATGGAAAGATGAGACTGTGACTCAAAGCAGTAGGTGGGCTTCCTGGCCCAGAGACCACAAAAGCCAAGGGATCCACATGGCTGAGAGGCTGAAAACTGGACAGAGACTTGGCTACTCAAGGAGCAATCAATGACTGTATCCTTACTGTTTACTGAACCTAACTGGTTGACTTCTCTAATAAACCCCCTTAATTTTGAGTACTGTCTTTGAGTTCTGTGTGGCTATTGCAATGAATTATCAAACTAGGCAAAAAAGTAGTGTAGTGGGAGGAAATGACTACCCATTTAGCCAGGGCAAGATTTAAACATTTAACCATGGCAAGTCCTAAGGTTTAAGTTCTCAACTTTTTAAAGCAACTACCCAAAGGTCTGAAATTAAACAAAAGATGGTGCATTGGGGAATGAAGTGAAAAACTGATTCTTATAAGGGTGTGTAGTTAAAGAATTTACTCCAAATCAAAAAGAAGTCTACACTTGAGAACTAACTTCATCATTCTGTTTACCTGGAGACCTTGAGCTTCTGTATGTGATTTGGAATGGGGGTTTTGAGTCACATCAACAATGGGATTTAGGGTGAGGACTTTGAAGCACACAGTGGATAAAGACTGAGATTATGATGGGGCCTTAATAAAGACTGTGGACGACAAGGTTTCATTAGCTTCCCTAAGTTAACAAAACTCACCAGCATGGAGTCGATGCTGATTTACAGTGACCCTATAGGGCAGGGGGGATCTGCCCCTGTGAGTTCCAAGACTAAGTCTTTACAGAAGTAGAAAGCCCTGTCTTTCTCCCAAGGAGTGGCTGGTAGTTTCAAACGGCTGACCTTAGTGTTAGCAACCCAAGGCATGGCCACTGCACCACCAGGGCTCCTCGCATATTGTCACACAAAGAATTGATGTATTTGAATTATGGTGCTGGCAAAGAATATTGAAAGTACTACGGATTGTCAAAAGACAAACAAATCTATCTTAGAAGTACAGCCAGATGCTCCTTAAAAACAAAGAGTGCGCAACTTCTCACATACTTTGGACATGCTATCATGAGAGACGAGTCCCTGGAGAAGGGCATTGTGCTTGGTAAAGTACTGCGCAGAAAAAAGAAGAGGCCCACAACGAGATGGACTGACGCACTGGCTCCAACAATGGCTCAAACGTAAGAACGGTGAGGAGGTGCAGGAGGGGCGGTGTTTTGTTCTGCTGCACATAGACTTGCTATGAGTCAGAAGTGACTGGACGGCACCTAACAACAACAACACGCTTTACTGCAGTAGAGGTAAGCAACACTTGCGAACAACAACAACAACACACTTTACTGCAGTAGAGGTAAGCAACACTTGCGATCAACAACAACAACACGCTTTACTGCAGTAGAGGTAAGCAACACTTGCGATCGGTATTCAGACCGAAGCCAAACGATTGTATACACCAGATTTCCTAGTCCTCTTACCTAAAGTAAATAAAAGTCAAATTAACTAGAGAAATTTTCTCTTGTTCATTCCAACACTGTAAGACCAAATCATGCTATGAAGGGGCATGAGAGAACCCTAGCAGAACTTATTCCCCAAGTTCACAAAATCAGTATTCCTGTTCTCCTTGGCTTGTGCAATTGGCCCTGCGCTTCAAAGGGTATTGTGGTTTAATTTATCCTAATTTATTAAACCTACTCTAATTCAACAAAATATTTAGATGATTCACTTTTTTAAAAAAATAGTGAAAAAAAATGTTAAGTTTGTTTTACAAATGTCTTTTGATATTTCAATTTAATCTCTCAGGAACACATCTACAAAAATCAAAAAACCAGATACAGCCATCGTGTTGATGTCGACACGTACTGACCCTAGAAGACAGGGTAGAACTGCCCCATGTGAGCTTCCCAGGCTAACTCTTACCAGAGTAGAAAGCCCCATCTTTCTCCTTTAAAGCAGCTGGTGGTTTCAAACTGCTAACTTTGTTATTAGCAGCCCAACAAGTAACCACTACGCTACCAGGGTTTCTTTGTCCTACAAAGTAAGACAAAAATCACTTTGACATTTCATAGTAAGAAACCAAACTTAATTTATTCATAGTCTGTTAAAGTTAGGTCACAAAAGGGGAAAACATTTTTTCTTAATTGCATTAGAACTGAAAAAAAACCACCTCAAAATGACTTTCACATTGAAGAAAATAATAATTTAATTCTGGAATATAAAATGGCTACTTATTACGAAATATCTTGTAAAACATTTACAAATTTATGAGTAGAACTTCCTGTTTCTCAACACAGGACTGATATCTAAGCTGAACAACTTTTCAGTGTGAAAGACTGTCCAAAAGGATGTTAAATAACATAGTGATTCCCTCTCCCTAGTTACTGTGACAACTGTGACAATGAAAACTATCTCCCCCTAAATTTCTGGTCTTTCCCCTCCGGGTGTTGTTCCATGACACCATCCTCAGCTGAGAACCACTAGGACCAGTTATAAAATACCACAACCTTTTCCTACCTTCATGAAGAATGCTCTACAGCAGACTTCCAGACTTCTCTCTTAATATGCTTAACATAATTTTATCATTTCTTAACAACCACACTGATTATGAACAGGAACTATTCATGTGCTGTTATAACAGAATAATGCTCTTAGAAATTAAAGTATGTGGTATCTTTGAATTTATATTAATTTCTAAGCAACTATCTGTTTTGGATCCTTTTTCCATTTTAACCAAAGTCCTTCCTTCCTACACTCTTTGTCTACTTCTAACAACCTCCCTGCACAGGACTACTTCTGTGAAGAAAGAGGCTTATTAAATCTTAACTCTGAACTAGCAGATGAAGGCTTCCTAAAGATGGCTCCAGGTCTTCTTAGAAGTAATGTGCATGGGCTTGGAGACAGCTACCTTCTTTCTCACTAAGAACATTCTTTTGCTTAAATGTACTTTTAATTTTGTGACTGCGCTATGCTGAATAACTCAGATTCTCAACAAAGTTAATTACTAAGCATCCGTTTTGAGGACTGAAGTATACTACTGCTCTGCACTACCGACTGACACAAGGTGACTCCAAGTCAGTGACTTAGAGGTCAGAGCAGGCTGCTCCAAAGGGTTCCAGGGTTGTCAGCCTTATGAAAGTATACTGTCACATCTTTCACCTATGGAGCAACTTGTGGGTTCAAACAACCAATTCCTGGGATCAGCCGAATGCTTAGGGCTCCTTACCAAACACTCCAATCAAATAATATAATTATTATTGAGAATATTGAAACAACTCACCTGATTTCTTTTAGTCCTTCTCTCTGGATAACTTGAAGAATTTCTTTATGACTCATGGGTGTATTGGGGTATTTTTCTAGGACCTGAGAAAGAAGTATTTAATTATAATTTATTATAAGTTTTTATTCTTATAATTATATACACATTTAATGGCATTTCTGATGCTTCTAATCGTTATCATTATATCTTAGTAATTACTTTCAGAACAAGCACACTAAGAAGACTTTTCATCCTCTTATTTTGAGGTAATCAGAAAAGGGAGGTTTTAATCACATATAAGTAGGATCTTCTTTCTCTCAGTGAAAAATAGGGCAAAATTCTAAACGAAAATCGCTCAGAAAGATTGACTCAACTATTCATTATTAATACATAATGTTAAATTATGTGAACTTTCCACTTCCAGTCCTACATCTCCTCTCCACCTGTGGCCTACTATACCTATCACACTCAAATAAAATTCAACTCTTAATGACCCTATAGGAACTCTGCAGGGGTAGTGGTTATGTGTTGGGCTGCGATCCAAAAAGTCAAGAAGTGACCTTATGGGGCAGAATACAACTGCTCCATAGAACTTCCTAGTTGGTAATCTTTATGGAGAGAGAAGAATGAGGCTTTCTACTACCGTAAACAGTCTCAAAAACCCAAAGGAGTAGTTCTGGACTGTCCTATGGGATTACGGGTTTCGTTTTTGGAATCCTCATGGGGGTAGACTGTTACATCTTTCCCCCCTGGTGTAACTAGCAAGGTCAAACGTCAACCTTTTAGCTACTAACCACTGCACCACCAGGGATCCCTGGATCTACTTACTATAAGCCCCTTCAAAATAACCCACCTTTATATCTCCAACAAAGCTAATCACAGACTATTCTATAATTTATTAACCAAAATAAATCAACAATAAAGTTATAGTGACATTAAAAGATACAGCTCTCCCCAAAATGCAACAAAACCCCTTGGTAGAATGGCAACAGATGGCCTAGAGCCCTAGAGCAGTGGTTTTCAACCTTCCTAATGCAGCGACCCTTTAATACAGCTCCTCATGTTGTGGTGACACGGCCCCCAACTATAGTTATTTTCATTGCTACTTCATAATTGTAATTTTGCTACTGTTATGAATCAAGCGACCCCTGTGAAAGGGTTGCTAGAACCCCCAAAGGGGTCGTGACCCACAGGTTGAGAACCGCTGCCCTAGAGGGAAGGCTGGTTTTGCTGTAACTAGTACCTTACACTTGCTCTCTCCCTACCCTCCTCAGGACCCAAGCAATCCAATGTTGGTAACTGTATCCTTGAGGGGACCAGCCATGCATGGCTAGACAGGTACCTACAACTTCAAGAAAGGGGAATCCTCCACGAAACCATATACTGTGGGTCCAACAAATGTGGGGTGAATTTTCATGACTACTATTCTCTGTCTTCTGCCCTGCTGCTTGGCATCATATGTAGATGCTGTCACAGAAAGGATATGGTAAACTCAGAGAAACAAAGATCACACAGCAAAGAAGTGAGGTTTCTAGGATCCAGAAAGCAATGTCATGAAGTAATAAAGTTCTGTGAGAACTCCTAGGCTCACACACCTTGGACACCTCTGTGGATCTGACCTTGAGCATACTACTGGATAGACCAGTGTTCAGTTCTCAAATCAGTCACTGAGCAGTGCAAATGTAGAAGAGATCTGAATGGCTTTGCAAAAGCTTTGCAAAGGGTACTGACATTGGGATTTGGGTACACAAAAGTAGGCAGGGCCTTGCAACACAAATCTAATGAAGTCAAATAAATGCCTGTTAAAACACCCTTGTGCACACTCACACATGTGCACACACCCTACATTCTCCATACACCAAGACTCTGAGCATCACTACATATTACCAAAATGGCCAAGATAGAACCCAAACTCACAAAAGAAAAACCAGAAACATCAAAGAGGCGAGAGGCTATCAACAAATTTAAAATGCTTGTTGGAATGATTAGACGAAGATGTGAAAATAGGTAATTCCATGGACGAACTTTGAAAATATTATGCAAAAAAATATTTGTCACATACAAAATTAGATTATTGTAGAATTTATAAAAAGAAACAGACAAATGTGCAAAGACAAATATTTGTAAATGTTTATACCAGGAGCTGCAGGGAGGGGAATTTGGAAAGGAATTACTTTGAAAAGTACTGAGTTTGTGCTTCTTGTTGTTTTTAAATGCCCCTTGAGTCAGTTCCAACTCATAAGTACAACAGAATAAAACACTGCCTTCCTCACAATTACTCTGTTTGAGAGCTCACTATTGCAGCCACTTTGTCCATCCATCTCATCAAGGGTCTTCTTTTTAACTGTCCCTCTACTTTACCAAGCATGAGTCTTTTTCCAGAGACTGGTCTTCCCCAGATAACAGAACCAAAGTATGTGCAATGTAGTCTTGTCATCTTTGCTTCTAAGAAGAATTTTAGCTGTACTTCTTCCAAGACAGATCTGTTTGTTCTTTACACAGTCCATGGTACACTCAGTATCCTTCACCAACACCATAGTTCAATGCATCAATTCTTCTGTGGTATTCCTTATTCATTGTCCAACTTTCCCATGCATATGAGGTAACTGAAGTCAGGAAAGTTGTACAACAGGGTTGTATTCTCTCACCAAATGTATTCAAACTGTAAGCTGAACAAATTAGAGAAGCTGAACTGTATGACAAAGAACACGGCACCAGGACTGGAGGAAGACTTACTAAAAACTTACAATGTGCAGATGACACAAGCTTGGTTGCTGAAAGTGAAGAGGATTTGAAACACATGCTGATGAAGATCAAGGATTACAGCCTTTGGTGCGGATTACAACCAAAATCTCTCCAACTGGACCAATAGATAATATCATGATAAACTGAGAAAAGATTAAAGTTGTCAAGGACTTTATCTTGCTTGGATCCGCAACCAAAGCTTATGGAAGTAGCAGTCAAGAGATCAATGACACACTGCATTAGGTAATCTGCTGCACAAGACTTCCTTAAAGTGTTAAAAAGTGAAGATTTACTTTGAGGACTTAAGACGTGCCTGACTCAAGGATGCTATCTTCAATCACCTCATAAACATGTGAAAGTTGGTAAATGGGCGGTGTAAAAGAAGGCCCTCACTATCAAGGGCTCATGCGGGAGGGGGGAGCGGGGAG